CTCGGAAGAGGAGAAGAGGAGGGTCTACAGGCTATGTCTAGTTGTCGAGTATTTTTTCCATCGACGGCTCTCCAGAATTTGCAACCTTAAGATGCCTTCGCTGCTTCGTAATAAAGATTTGCGTTGGGTCTGAAACTGAAACTATTTGTTTGTACTGTATCATCTTTCCACTGAAAATACTGAAATCTCCATAATCCTCTGTGATGTACTTTGTGGTATCGATGACTTGTAAGCGTGATATGCAAACAACAGGCAAACCATGGAATGGGGGAGAAATGTTTGGATTACTGATTCTCGGCGGGGATAGAAAGGGTATCAATATTCATCTCAACTGAGTCTGAGTGATAGAATGTGACTAACATTCTGGCTGAATTTCTCTGTGACCTGCGGGGAACGTCGGTACCTCGGTTTCCCATAGCAGTGGTCCTCAAAGCACTGGTAACTTACCGAGCTGCTGGTCTTGCATTTGGGGGGGGTCGACGTCAGTCATCCCGTCAGTCCGTCAGACTCAGTCAGCCTAATATCAGTTCTATATCAGTCTATCAAATCAGTTATCAGTCTATCAGTCTATCAGTCGTCATTCAGTCAGCTCAGTTCAGTTCAGTTCAGTTCAGTTCAGTTCAGTTCAGTTGTACGTACATACATAGCCCTATATAGCTACCTACCTATAGGTGCTCTCTCTATATCTCCTGTGGTGTCTGTTTCCGTTAGCACATCAATAATATTACCACTCCCAGCTCAGTCCAGTTCAAAGGTTCGGCGTCCCAGCTCAGTCGAGTCGGAGGGAGAAGCAGAAGTTTGGTACAGGACAGGAAGGAAGGAAGGAACCATCGGACTGAATCCCGTGTCGCGTTGAGCCGCGCCCCAGAAACCTCCCCGTGGCCACTTGCCACCAAACCCAACCCTTCCCGCCCCTCCCACCCCGCGCGCCCTTTCCCTTTTCTCCCCATCCGATGCCACCAGCGCCAACAAAGCCGGACCCCACTACTCCAACGCCATACCTTTCCATCCAGCTCCATCTCCACAGTGCGCCCCACCTCTCCATCGAGTTCATCATCATCGTTGCGCACCGTCGCCTACGACTGTCTGCGCATCCCCTGTTTCTGCTATTGCTGTTGTTGAGTGCCACGAGACGACTAAGGGCTACCCTGACGAGGACTAGTGGCGCGTTGAGGTTGTCGAGATGGTGAGTTTGTTTCTGGCTGCGAGGGAAGAGGGAAGGGAGATTGGGAGATGGGATGAGGGGGCTGACGGATTGTGCGACAGAATTCATTATTTAATTCTGCGCTGAAGCAGACGGCATCGGTGAAGAAGGACCTAGCAAGCTTCGCAGAGTCTCCGGTCAGCTCATCCCCGGCACTACAAGGTATGCTTCTGCCCCTCCCCCTCCTTTCGTTTCTCTCGCCCGATCCTTTCAGCTGAAACAAAACCAACCATACAGGCCAGATCTCCGCGTCCCTAGCCTCGCTCGCGCGCACAATCGATGACTACGACTCCATGGCACGCCGGGAGATTGTCCCAGCCAAACAGGAAAAGGCATTCCAGCGCGTCAAGAACTTCCGCAAAGAGATGAGCGAATTCAGGCAGCAGTTTGACCAGCTAAAGAGCGATCGGGCCGAGAAGGAGCATACGGTTGCTCGTGGAGAGCTGCTGGGTCGGCGCGGGCATAGCTCGGCGACTCCAGAGAATCCGTATGCTAATGCCCATACGAGGAATCACTCGGCATCATTGCAGCACTCACCATTTGCACCTGCTCCTGGAAGTGGGTTAGGTATGGGAAGTGGTAGTCTGCAGAGGGAGGATCATGTGTTCAGAGAAAGGGACTTTATGAGTAGGACCAATGATCAACTAGATGATTATCTAGATAGAGGCAGGGCCGTATTGGCAGATCTGGGAGAACAGAGAGCGATGCTCAAAAACACCCAGAGGAAGCTGTACAGTGTGGCCAACACCCTGGGGGTGTCGAGGGACACGATTCGTATGATCGAGAGAAGGGCCGCACAGGACAAGTGGATATTTTACGGAGGAGTTATCGTCTTCTTCGTGTTTTGTTACTTGGTGCTGAGGTGGCTACGTTGATGAAGGGAATATATTAGCAGGGCCACGTGCATCAGGACGGTTATGGACTTCTTTGCTGTGTTATTTGGGCATTCATTTCCTTTCTTTTTTTTCTTTCTTTTTCTTCTCTTTTTCACATTGTTCTTGTTTCTGCTCTGGGCGTTTTCGTTTCTATCATTATATGCAGTGCGTAATATTTTTTCCCTTCTTATTTTTACTGTGTTGGCGTCAGGACAAAAAAAAAAAAAAGAGAGAGAGAAGCAACACTGGCTCCCTGGACTGGCTGAGGGCTGGCCGAGAGTTGCGTAATGAAAGGACGGAATCGATGTCCGTCATACAAACCGGGAACCTAGCTGTGTGATGCGATGCTGTGAATATGTAGCAGGTGTGGTAGTGGTGGTAATGTATGTAATGGTGATGTGACCGCGATGATGATGATGAGCGCAGAATAGACAAGAAATACATGTAGTAGACCGTGCAGCAAGTCGTTCCCCATTCACTGATATTACTAGAGAGCCTTTTGTGCGACTGGGAGCAGCGAGTCGAGTTCCGGTGAATGGGCAGCGGATGACAGATGTGCAGGATGTCGATATATCATAGCTGTCTGTACCTGCCGTATTTACCGTGTATCACCCCGATCCACTCGCGATCCCAAGAAAACTGCTGCGGACACCGACGTCAACAAAAAGACACCCTCAAACCTCTCACCACATGCCCTCCACGCTCCACCCGCCTCCATTCACAACCTCCGCATCCTCTCCGCACCTGCCCAGCGAGGTCACCCGTAGAAAACAGAATGCTATCGCCGACGAGGACCCAAATAACAACTCCGACGACGACGACATAGCGTCAATATCGTCCAGTTCCTCGACCGCATCCCTACCAACAAATTGGAGCTGGGGCCCAGGTGCAGGAAGCTCTTTTGCGCCGCCGTTTTACAATCGGCCACCTACTGTATGCCTCTCGTTATCGCTAGTTAGCGGGGGGAAGTACTGACAGTGCGGTACTAGCCACTCCCGCCCTCTCCTTCCCTTACATCGCTCCTCCGCCCTCCATTCACACCCTCTCGACCTACCACGCCCGACAGCTCCGACTCTGAAGCCGTTGCTACCTCCTCACGGATCGCGCAATCCACTCCTCGCGCTTCCCCAAAGGTTCCCACCTACGAATACTATGGCTTTGTGCTCTACCTCGTCTCCTCGCTCGCCTTCCTCATCTACATCATATGGTCATACTCCCCCGCGGCGCTTCTTCATGCCGTTGGGATCCATTACTACCCGTCGCGATGGTGGTCCCTGGCTATACCGAGCTTTCTAGTAATGCTAGTAGTGTATATATTTGTTGCGCTCGCAACATACAATATGGAGTACCTCACGCGCGGGCTGGATAATATCGAGAGCGTAGTTGACGACGCGGCCAATATTGCAGCGGTAGACTTTACACCGAGAGTCGCTACTCCTGTCGTTATTGTGCCAGTAGTGGGCGAGGAGGATGCCGGTAATAGTAGTAGTGGCCAGAGGAGAGTAGTGTATGAGGCGAAAATGTCGGCCAAGAGGTCTGGGAGGGGCAGAGCGGAGAGCTGTTCGGAGAAGTGGAAGGGTACAGGCGTATTACCAGGAACCGACGCAGACTGGAAGAGCTTGTGGGGCAGGGGAACTGATGCAGTGATGGATGTGCCCGTAGGAGGAGTATGTGAGGTGCTGTATGGAGATGCGAGAGAAAGGGAGGACTGGGAGCTGGGCGTCGGGGACGAAGAGCTATACGTACTGGTTAATGCCAGTAGTGATGGGGATTGGTAGACGTATTTGGCTTCTTTGGGGCGTTCGGGGCGAATAAAATTATATAGAAGTAATATAGTTAGTAATGATCAAAATTCCTTAACATATATACGTACTCGTCCAAAATATCATTGACCTGCCTTGGCATGGACACCATCACTACGTGAGCCATACCTAATGTACGGCTGGGACTAAACGGCTGGGCCCTTTGCTTTGGGTCTTGTCACTAGGGGGAACACAGCTGATAGCCAGATTGATGGTTAGAGACTGTCAGTTGGAGCTTGACCATACGCAAACTGATAGTGGTTGCAGGATGTATTAATGTGGTGCACTGCAAGTATGTACGCATTGTGCCAAAGACAACTTGGTGATTAAGAGAGTCCCATAGTCATATTCCTCCACCTGGGGCTCATATGAGCGTAATCTATGCCACCACACCAGGTATATTGTCCCCATCTAGCGCTCCATTCAAACCAGAATAAGCATCAAACAAGTGATGCTCCTGGGACAGGTCATTGCGCGCGCCTCTAGTATCTAATATAGATCTTTCTAGGTGAAGTCTAGCCCATAGATGGGAGTTAGGCCATCATTTCGGGGAGAGACAGGTACTTATCAGTTCATGATGAGTGTTATGATAACAGTCCAAGCATCACTGCAGAGCATGGTGGTTGAGTTGATTCCTTGTATCTTGTCGATCAACTAGAGGATGGAAACACCAAGATGAGCTGAAGCTGATTATGGGATTGCAGTACAATTAGGGCATTACAAAGGTTGCTACCATTCCGATCGTGGGAAAAGAGCAGAAATGTAATAGGGGAATGTTGATGTGTTGGTGGGGACGGGCTGAAGAGACATAGAGATTTGGGCAGGAGACATATATTTGTGAATAGCAATCCGAACAAACCAAGGTGGTCCTACGTGTATACATCCAAATCCGCGGAATAACCTTCTGCTATATTTGACTCCGTCTCACTGGTACCGGGACAAAAAGAGTTTGCCATGACAATTTGGTATTTCAAATGAACAAAAGGAATGTTTCCATGACGCCTTGCCGCTATGCAAAAGAAAAAGTTCAGAATATGAGACAAAAAGAAAAGTACAAGATGACTAAACCGTAACAACCAGCGAGGGTATATAACGGATGCCATCGATTTCATAAAATCATCAGGTTTTGACTGACACCATACCGATCCTCTGTTGTTTCAATTTTCCCGTCATGATCCAATACTGATAAGCTCTGTATCTGCCCCTACCTCCATCTGCCTCATCCACACTTAATGGGTTTTCTGGGATTTCCAAGAATTCCTCGTAGCTTTTTATATCATTATCTGATGCTCTAAGATTTGCAACAGCCTCTGGTGATGTGCTGTTTACATAGTTGACGAAATCGCGAGATGTATTTGGCGGGAGCTCAGTCGTTACCACGAGGGGAAGATTGAGGGGGTGGGATACATAACTATTAGGAGTCAGTCATCATGAGGCAATGTGGAATGAGGTAATAGTTGTTTTACAGTTCATATTCTGCAGTTTCCTTTTCGCTGAGTGAAGGGTTAAGACTCCTCTCAACAACCTGCTGCATATTCCTCTGTTCAAGCGGTATCAAATCTCTACCCACAGCAAAGTGCTGCTTGACCGGACTAGACGAACGGAGTCCACCATGCATATCTCCCGAAACAGCATTGTTATCACGGCCCGGAAATTGGGGATTGGAGGTTTGTCGCAGGGTTTGTTGCTGCTTCCGTGGTGATGATGGCCATCCTTCAAGGGCGGTTATCTTTTTAAGCCGATTCTCCGGGGTTTCGACGTTGATAACATTATTTTTAGATTTGGACTTTTTATGACTGGAACCGCCATGGTTTGTGCGTACTTTGAAGGGGCTAAGATCGTATTTTCCCTCCGAGGTTTGTCCTATCGGGATGTAGCGTAATGTGGAATTGATGTCATAAGAGAATACTTTGAGGAAAGATGAGAGTGCTTTTGGTCTATAGTATTCTAGCCAGTAGTCATCAAAGTAGCTATACGGCTTATTCGCAAATTCGTCTAGAGGCCTTGTAGCATGTGGCATTACTCTCTTCTCAAGATTCTTCGGTGTCCACCACTTTATATAACTAAATTAAATTAGTCACTTCCTGAAATTCTGAGGATGGTAACTAAGTACCTGCGTCGTTTTCTGGAAGCTCTTGGGTCGATATGATGCAGGTAGTAATCCGTTGAAAGATCCCACAACATGGGCTGGCCCTGAGTAAATATGTAGTTACCCAGGAAAAGGTTATATGCCTCTTGTCGTTGGGCATCCAAGAAAGAATTATTATAGTATCGTTTGAAGCTCTCGAGCATGTCTCGCGAGTGACTCGTCCACTGGTTAATTTTACGGTAAGTCTCCATGGTATTCACTAAGTGACTCCCCGCATACTGTACGGCGATCGTGTCCCCGTGGTCATGATACATGTGCGTAAACAGATCAACCGCGTCAGTATCATATTCAACGCTGGTACCCGATATAACTCCTAGCGCATGTAATTGATGACCGAGAGCCCTCTTCCCAATAACGAATTGCGCGGCGTTAGTACGGTCAAGACAATCAATGCAGTTTGTTCTACAGACACCATTTTGAAGGGATGCTTCAGCTCCATCCCTAGATGGGCCGTTATGGAAGAAACCGGTCGTGTTGACTACAACTTCAGCTATTGTTTCAAGAGTTTCGATTACGTCTTGATCACGACTGTTCGGGTCTAGGGTTAATTATATTCCAAAAGTATGTCGGGGCGTCATTACCTCTTGGAGGCCCGGGACATATCCCAAGCAATATAGCGTATTCTCTTATCGGTTGGCAGAAACTGATTCAAGTAATTTATTGCTTGTGTAAACTCCTTCAGTAGTAATGATTCTCTAGGCGTCCTTTCTTTTGACTATATGCATGTCAATTATGAAAGTCTCGTCTCCAATCGGACACTACCAACCTTCACAAGATTCAATACGATGCATGGCGCCCCATATCTTTGGAACAAATCATCAAAATGCAATGCTGCTGCACTGAAAAAGGGGTCTACAAGATTCACTATTGACGGGTTTTCAGCCCTCACCCATATAATCAAAGGGGGGGGGGGGGGGGGGAACGTACTCTCTACAGGGGGTTTTGGAGTAGCAGCATCGTTTTTCTGGGTCCAGAATAGAGGAATACTTCCACGGTGTTGTACGTATGATGTGTAATTAGGGTTCGAATAGAGATTCTTTCCTGGCGCATGGAATGATGTAGTCAACATATCGGAGACAATCTGCTCCGTCTCCACATCGTTCGCAACATATCCCTATACAAACTTGTAAGCATCCCAAGCGTTATTTAGGAAACCCGTGTTATTTACCAAATCATTCGCACCACGCTTTAGGAATCTCGCGCCAGCAAAGTACCGTGAGCGCCGGGCAATGACTGTAATGTAGATAATTCTCCCATATACCGAAATTGCTAATGTCACTTATGTTAGAAACGTCTTGGTCCTATACTATTAACCAATGAGATTTACCAGATTGATCCACATAACCATGAACAATGGGCATGCACCAATCATAAGTGTTTTTCATGTGTTTCTTTGCAGGCTCCAGAAGATAGTGATTCCATGCAAACATGTCATTATAATCATGATTATCTGGATGTGTCAATCCGTTACTTAAAGCCTCCCTTTGACGGATAATGTTGTGTTGCAGCGTCCTAGTGATATCATAGGAATAGCTAAAGTAGAATGACCTTGCCAGATCCAAGTTTCCTAAAATATTAACAAAACGAGCTTCTTCTGAATTTCGGTCAGGTTTCCGTGCGCCGGCTGTGAGGGGTACGAGCTCGGTATTATCAATCTTTTAATGAGAATTCGCAGTCAGGATTGCAAGATGAGTTGAAGTTATAATTTTATAAGGGTAAAGTAGGCGAACCTGGTAAACATAATGGCCTCCAATCATAGCAACAATGCTTCTTTTTGTAATTAGTAGCATATAGTATGCCCCCGTGAACCTGACGAATCCCAGAAGTCCCCAAAACGGACATCTGTGCTTTAGTCCTCCAGTAGACCTATTTCCATCCTCGATGGTGGCTAATAGCCTCGTAGTCTCCTCGCGAGTATAGATAACTTCATCCTCTGTGATACTCAGGTCCCCAACATCCGCCGTACGGTCAATCTTCAAGATGCGGAATCTCGAATCCAAGAGATCTGAGCCGACAATATAGAACCGTGTAGCGGTTTCGTACAACGTGAATTTATGCATTCGTCGCACACCGTCGAAGTCTTTGTCTTCGTAAACCTCTTTTTCAAGTCTCCCTAGTTTTACGTCTGACCTGTCAAAGGATTTTGGAACAGAATCATCATTTATTTTATTGTTGGGATTTTTTGATACAGGGCTTGCTGGAAGGTTGTTAGAGAGCTGTGGGTAGGTAGGTTGCTGTGCTTCGGGTGCTTCGACGCGAACTGGCATGAGCGGAGGTGGTGGGGGTGTTGATACATCATCTGGAGCGGGAGCGACGAGAGATGCAGGGTGATTATCATCATCAGACTGAATAGTCAGCTTTTCATCGTTGATGCTTGATCCAGACGGCGGAGTTGTAGGTGGATCCTCGATTATGACGCTGCAAGAGGAGGAGCCGCAGGAGGCCTCACATCTGGGTTCACAGAGTCCTCCCCCTCCCACCCCTCCCCCACCCCCCCCCACCCCCCCCGCCATCCCCTACTCCTCCTCCTGCTGCTCCCGCTGATTGTGTTCCGTCGTACCCATTTTCCATTGGAATGAGAGTTTAGTGGCACCGTAGGTAGGGGTCAAGAAGCCTGAAGCTTCAGATGAGCATCCTAAGCTTTACCGTTGGACATGGAAGCTCACAGACGAGCTTGTTAGTGAATACGTACCGCCAAGCTTCTTACATAACACCACAAATGCATGTACAATGATGTCGTTGGACATTAAACGCAAACCACAAAAAATATGAAATCTCGTCCATCTGCAGCCTCGCCGCAGCCTGATGTTGAAAAACCCGAAAGAAACTAGCGTAACGCTGCTCTATGTCCGAATACAGAGGTTTCGGAGGGTACCTACATGAGAGAGTCGCACTTCATAAATGCAGGTAGGACGAATGCGATTCTCCAATTTCAGATATCAGCGAAGTTATTTGATAAATACAACAACGAACTCTACCCACAAGGAGTCATCCCATCCGCGAACAGGATCTTATCAGATATTCGTGGCCGTTACACTCCAGCCATGAGCAGTTGTCTTGAGTACATAGTAGGTATTGTACACCCCAGGAATATCTACCGACTAACCGATATAGATCATAGAGATCGATCTTAGGCACAAGTATGGTATAAAAAATAATAAGTCAGGGATAGTTATAAACTTGAGTCGCCGCGAACATCCCATGGCTCTTGAAACGAGCGTTGTGCACGGATTATCACTCGTGTAGTTGAAGTTTCAAAATGAGGCATCTGAGAATCTAGGGATAATTAATTTATCTAATATATTACGTATCAATGAATCATGACATTTGAATCGTTATATCGTTAACCTTGCTCTCTCTCAATAACTCAAGCTTCAAACCTCTGAGTCCCTCACCACTCATGTGTCTACCCCGCTTGCGTGATTATGAAATAATAATGTAGAATAATGTCCAAAAAGGGTATATAATATAATAAGAAAAGAAGAATGAGGAATTCCCGGAGAAGAAATATATCAGGATAAAAAGAGGCTGCGAGGAAGAAAAAAGAGGGAGGGAAAAAAAGGAAAGAAAAAAGAATTAAGCGTAGTTGTATTCGTTCGTAGTCCCATCCATAAAACGCACCAATCCCTATGTATAATAAATGAAAATAAACCATAATATAACCGAGCATGGAGAATGGAATGATAAAAAGTAGAGGTAAAGGTGGCTTTAGGAGGTAAAGGTGGCTTCAGATGCTCAAATGGCAAAATGGTGGCTCATAAATGCCTCCATAACCCGAATCTGTTGTGGAGAAGAATCTAACCAAATCCTCGAATACCGGCAAGGCCACTTCCCGTCGTGAAGTTGAATTTCTTCTCCTTCTTCTCCTTCTTCTCCTTCTTTTCTGATTTCTCTTTATCCTTTTTGCCGATGTTTTGAACGCCTCCTATATCCATGAACCAGCGGTTAGATCCCAGAATTTCCGTAAATGGAGTTTAATTGACGAGTTAGGAAAGATAGCGGCTCGAAAAAGACAAATAAAAGGGATAAACTAAAAAATATATATATATATATGGACCAGCCTCGTCAGCCAACACTTGAACCAACCGTAAGCGACACCAAAGGATTGCTTAGATTGTGTCGTGGGCTTATGGGAAGGAAATTATCTGGAAGGTTACGTAAATCTTGGCCCCACAACCTGTTGTGTCATGCGAGAAGTCACGTTGTTTCTTGACATATGCTTCCCCCGGCCATTTTGTTTACATCCATGCCGAGGAAAAGAGAGGGAAAAAAAGAAATGTATTAATCGAGGAAAGAAACGAGTGTGGTGTAATAATATTGGTTAGAATGAGATCAATTATTCATCGCCACAGCCACGAAAGCTTCAACAATTGATCCCGCACAAATAAGAAATTGAAAAAGTCAAAACTTTACGAACCTCTCCCACGAATTCTAATCTCAGATTGCGGTTTGATTCTTTCCCTCCGCTTTTCTGAAGACGTAGTCGAAGTAACAGTTCTCATACTCTGGCTATCAGCGCTAGAAATCATACTATCAACCACGGATGGCCTATGCCTCAAGGGTGGTGTTGTCGCGAATTCGGGCGATTGTTCTGTGCTTATTGAATCTTCAGGAAACTTTCCACTGCCTATGACTGTATGTGCCCCGGGTGAAATGTACCCAGGAGATAACGGATTCGTAGACGGTGGGGCACTTTGGGTTTGGGATGGGAAATGTATGTTCTGACCCGTCGCCGAATAGTTGCTATTTGTCGATTCTGAGTAGCTGGTTGAATGTGGACTTAACGATCCCTCAGAGTGATAATGTGCACGTGGTGTCTGATAATGGGCCCTTTCAACATCTGACTCACCAGGTTGGCCATGGTTATATTGTTGAGAAAGACGATGGCTATTTAGACTGTTATGGTGCACGGGAAGACTATCAATTTCCTGCGCTGCCTGAAGTTCGATAAACTTAATTTCTAATTCGGTATATTTGTTGAGGAGTGCGGTATGTGCTTTTTTTAGAGACGCCAAGCGAGAATTTGCTCCTGAAAGTGCATTGTCAATCATGCCCTGGATAGCTGGGGAACTCTGATAAGAAGCGGGATGAGGCTGTTGGTTGAGCTTCAACTCCAATTCGTGAATTTTGGCGTCATATTGACTGTCACGTATGTTAGAACTTTTCAAAACTTTAACAAATTAAAATGATACATACCGCCTTGTATTTTGGTTCTCATGTTCTCGAGCCTGTAACCTCAGCCTCATTTGGTTGACTTGCGCCATAGCTGACTCCTCATTATGCTTCTGCATCTCGAACTCGTCCGAGCGAGCTTCATATTCTGTGAGTTTATTTGAGAGGTGATCGACAAACGTTCGCAATTTATTAAGCTCATCCATGTCTGCCGTTAGAGCTTGAAGTTTTTGGCGGCAAACAAGACCTTCCGCCTCACTTTCCGCTAGCAGGGTCCGTAAGTGATCGGCCTCTTCCCTTGCTGCCATCAGCGCTTTTTTCGTCGTCTCTTCTTCGCTCCTCCATGCCTTCTGCTCCTCACGCAAGTCTCTTATCCTGCTGCTGAGTTCCGCCTCCCATTTCTTTGCTTGGTTCTTGCTCTTCAGAGACTCTGCCCTGGCAGCTGCATATGCTTTCTTTGCTTCCTCTAACTTAGCTTTCAATGTTTTGTTCGTGTTGATTAGGTTCTGGGTTTCCGCTTCAGCTGTAGCTTCCTTGATGTGCTTCCTCTGTAGGTGGCCGATGTGTGATAGATGCTGCTGTTTGAGATATCGCTCAAAGTTGAGGTCATTCTTCAACAACATCACTTCACGCTGGAGAAATGCTACATTTCCTTGGGTATCCGAACCAGTAGGCCGAAGTGCAGGTGACCTTGGGACAGTATTGTGACTAAGTGAATGGACGTATGCGTCTAAACGAGGCGACGCTGTGACGCTGCCATAACCAGGGGGGGGACCGGGGGGGTGGCCAGTAGGTGGCGGTCCGTTTGGCTGACTCAAGGAATGTGTTGAAAGCGTCTTTGAATCAGAGAAATTTGATCGTAATGTTTCTTGTAATCGCAGCATGTCGTCAAGCCGGTCCTCATCAGTAGGAGAAAGTGCAGGCGGGATTGTCGGGCTGTCGGGGGTCTTGTTATCTCTTGAATGAGGGTCCGGGGATTCCCGGCGCCCGAATCCAACTGGAGGACGTGAGAATAGTTCAAGAACCTCTGAGTAACTATTTTGCGGGTTTGATTGGGCTGTTGACTCACCCACTCGTGAGCTATACGTTGAGGAATCGTCCTGGTTAAGAGAATAGTCGTCATCTACAGGATCTGAAGACAAAAGACTTTCATCAGGAATGTCTTCAGTCGGGATTAATGCCTCCGGAATAATAGCATTCGACCGCTGCTTCTTCTCCCGACCGGTACTCATAGGGAGATTACTGTTAACAAGACCAATACATTCCGCCGTTACATCTGCAGGTTCGACCTTCATCCATCTAGTCTGGTCACTGATTTCTGTCTCGGCAGTCAGCACCAAGAAATTTGGATGCAGAGTATGCCGTTGTCGATAAAACTCCGTTCGCTGTCTTATGGTTTCCTCCTCAATATCCAATTGATCAATGTCTTGATAATCCGCACGCTCTAAAAATTTATAAGGTTCCCGGATAAACGTCAAGAAGTTGATAGGATATAATCCATAAAGAAACGTAAAGTAGTCGCTCACATCTGGTGTTGTAGATGATGCTGTTTCAAAAGAAGAATCCAGTTTTTGCCATCCACCTTCAGTAGAATTCTCAGTCCTGGCGAAGGATAGAGGGGTCGATGTCCTTGAATAATTGTCCTTGTGACCAGGCAATCGTGTCTCTTCAAGGCGCACAACCCCAAACTTGTCCCAGCATAAGACTCGTGTGTAAACCACAAATAACCTTGGAAGATAGGAAGCTAAGGAGTTGCATAAATGCGGCATGAACATAATCAACACTGTCAGTGCAAGTGATATGACAGTAGTGGATGTGTCATTCTCCAGGCATTGAAGCAAATGATCGAGTAACTGTGTCTGTAGAATCTGGTAGAGATGCGGTCCTTGTAGTCGTACAAAACTACATAATAGCCCCAAAGCCTGTAACCTGTATTCCTTTTGGATAACATAACCATCGATTTTTTCGAGGAGAACCTATAATTGGAAATAGAATTAGTGGAGTCTGATAATATCGAATATTTAACGAACCTTAGGTCGCCTTTTCCCGAATGCCAACAAGACAGCCTCAACATTTGCACAGACAAATCTCTGTCTCTGCTCCTCCCTGTACCCAGCACCTCTATCCAACGAGAGTAGCTTCGTCTTCTCTAGAAACACCTCAAAAAGCTTATCCGTAAAAACTGCTGAAGCTGCCGCTTTCTCCATGGTCGGATCATCATCGTCGTCGTATGCCAAAACGCTCAACACTATTGCCCGAGCATCTGCCACAACTGCTTTTGCCTGACCCATAGAGTCCATTGTTGGCCTTACAAGTATCTCCCACCATTTAAGAAGCCTTTCCACGCCAATAATAGCTGGTCTAAGTGAACGGAAGCATGCTAAAAATGCAGCGTGCTTATCAGGGTTATTTCGGACCTTCTGTTCATGCAAAGCTAACAGCTCATCATGAAGACGCTGGGAGTCGTGATCTTCCGTATTTATATGCTTGTTGAGATACGCATTGATGACGCCTAGGACATCATCGGGTAGAGGGTACAGAGGCAGAGGAGCTGATAATGCATTGTTCAGGGTTTTTGAGAGTTCTTTTAAGGATCTATTGAGTAGTTCTCAGCTTTTGTTAAACTAGAGATAGCGGTACGCAGATCAAGAACAAAGAAGCGTTGTAACTGCAGGAAAGAAACAACTCACCCTGCCGACATTGTGTCAAACGACCAACCTCCCTCTGGAAGGTTTCAATAATAATAAAAGATGAATCGGGAGCCTTATGGCTCAAACGGTTGTGAAAACTGCAGTGACGGATGGTAGGGTGAACGTGGTATATACTAAGTTATGTAGTTAAACTACGTCAATATCGTGCAACGAGACCGGAAATCGCGATATCGCCTTATAGGTCCTTGATCAATAAGGTAAGATAACTGTATTTCTCTCTCCTCCCATTCCTGGTGGTCTGGTGTACGGATATCTGTATGATTGAGGCCTCAGAAGGAGTGATATGATAGATGGATATTGAACTGCAGCGATGGGCACACCGTGGATAAAGGTCGGGCTCGGGGGTGGAGAGTGACGGTCTTAGACGAGGTAAGGGATATCCGGGAGAGATAAAGCGGACTCTAGAATTAAGGTCAACGTGGGCACCGGGATTATGGCGTCGAAGCGGCGTCGGCGGGGAGTGTAAAAAAGGCTTGGGAAAAACAAAAAAAAGTACCATGCAAGGGTGAGTCTTGGATACGCGGCGGGGTGTTTGACAGCCGATCCTGAATAGGGATAGACTGTATTTATGTGCCCATGTACCTACCTTAGAGTACTGTACCCTGATAGTGAGTGAAGTGATGTGATGTGATGGACGCTGATGGCCAACCCTCCCTCACGCACACCTGGCTTGAATCGGAACTGATCAGCACCGACCCCCAATATCAACAGCAAAATAGTTTACATGCTTGAAGACGGCGTAAGAATACTAGGGTTGGCCCGGGGTTACCACTGCAAAAGAGTGATTGACGACCTTGATATTATAACGTTTTTAACCTGGCACTGTGTCAGATTGGGAAATGGGTCATTGGCATACAAATTTGGTTGTGATTAGGCCTAGGTCTGACACAGTACTGGGTTAAATACGTTACTGGTAACAATGATGGATCCATAACTTTAGAAAATAATTGATTGTAGATTTATACTAGATCATAGTTAACTTATGTTCTTTCATTCTTTCAGCCAATCAGTACCCGTAATTTACGAAATTATTTTTTTATATTATAGGAGATTTGAAAACAACCTCCTTGATTGAGGCGGCGTGGTAACTGAACTGACTTGGGTGAGAAGTTGATAGAGTGGGGGAGTGTGGTTGGCCACCTCTATGATAGTGGGGTGAGTGAAGGAAATACCATGCGATAAAACGCCAATTAAAATCGAATATAACTGTATAGAGCAAATAGATACATGTAGCCCCAAGAAAGGGGATATGGTACCTGTAAAAATAAATTTCAATTCGGAGAAGAAACACGTACTGGTACACGCAGACAATGCCGTGTCTTGAAGGGGACACTGTGTGGGGACGGGTGAGGTCTTTGCCAGTGAGACTCTCTCTGCTCGGTCTATGTCTATGCATATTACACAAGGGAAATCATTCAACATGACCTGCGAACGGGCTTCTTTTGTTTACTACAAGTATGTATTGCAGATTGGCCTATTTGCCTCAAACAGGCCAAACTGGCCATGATGCATGCACGGCAAGTATATAGCGACATGTCTATTCTCGCAGTTAGGACCTTCTTGCCTTTTGATTTTTGTAGCGGACTACATGTACCTACATGTAACTGGAATCCTAGGGAAGGAGAGCCAAGTCAAATCCCAGGACCCTGGATATGGTATGGGGGAAGAACTACATATAGTTAATCTATATTTCGGAGCTGGCCGCGTTTGAAGTGAGTACTCTGCTCATGTACCTACAGTACATGTACTCTCCGTTATCAGTGCCGTACTAATTTCATATGTAAATGCTCCGGGTTCAAGCCCCTTAGACAGCCATCCCGAGAACCACCAGCTTTCCTTTACCATCTCGATGTCTCCGGAATGGTGGCACAGAAGCGTCACCGCGTTAATTTTGTTCTCGCTGTTTGCTCCCTTGCAGAAAGCTGCACTTTCTTCAGTAAGGAAAAAATGATATCCCATAATCTCCGCATGAAGTTCGCCATGTAGGTACCAAATGAATGTGGGGGGCACCTTAAATTTCATCCTTGGCAAAAACTTGGCTTTCGGACCAATCCTACTACTGGCGTATGAACGCCGTTAAATTTGTAAATCTCATAGCCAAAGATATTAGGTTGCTGACAATTGCAACAGTTACAAGTAAGCTATGGGTTCTACTGCATTCAACATGGGAGGGCAATTCTTGTGGAATCATCAGCCTATTAACTATTCGGAAGTACCCGAGCGCAAATACCGGCATAAACTTGTATTATCATGCTATATTCGGCTTATCATTCTCCGCATTCGTTTCATTTACGATAACAGCCTGCAGAGGAACCTCAACTGTTAGCATACACTGGAACTTCAGGGTAAAATATAAACATCAATATATAGATGGCTAATGCCGTTCTGAAGGCGCTATCCACCGTAGACAGGGCAGGTAGGTAACTACATGTAGGTATCACAATTCACATGTTCTGCGCGATCTGTACCAAACTGCTAGAGTAGGGGTACTGTCGGTATCGTTCCGGGTCTCTGGGAAATATTTTCCGCCTATGTGGCTGGCCAAGATCGCTATAACTAAATCGATTCACGTAAATGGCCGCTACCACTGACCTCTAGTCATATCTCCTATCGAGACCCTCAAGAAATGTGTTGATCAATTAGGTTAGATGGGCATTTGATAAATAAGCCTCCATATAGGTACAGCGCCAAGATAATGTTTGTCTTGCCAATGGAATTGGATGGTTGTCATAAAAGGTCAAAGTGCTTATAAAACCACTCTATCAATAGCTACATAGGCAAACCTCCTGCTATAGGCTCCGATATCAAATCGTTTTATAGACAGATTGCGCGTTTTTCTAAACGTCGTCCGTGTAATTCTACAAGGATATCTATCCAACAAAAAGTGTTAAGCTGCAGGTAGACGGCGTCAGATGGCAATTGAGAGTTGTGCGGCATTGCAGAGCCGTACTATTGGGTACCCAAGAACCTCGCCGCCCAGGGCAACTGCCGCCAATAGCCTTCCAACCTGTCAATATTCGAATTGTGGCATTTGCTCTCTCCTATATTAAGGCGGCACAACCTCAAATTTCTGATTCTACATACATAGCTATATCATTCTAAGCTCGAATATCCTGCCTCAATCAAGTTTTTACCATATATTAAGCTGAACTCAGGGGTGATTCCTGGGCCCCAAGAAACACGGGATTACTGCTGATAATAACAGAACGGCTGAGTGAACAATAAGCCCTTAGACCAACTCATGTATTTTCTGGTACTCTAGTCCTTTGCGTCAGTCGCGTGACAGCTAAGTAGAGCAATCCTCCTAAACCTTTAGAATCCTACACTTTGAGACGTTTTAAATCTAGTGTCCGCGGCGATATGAACCCATGCAGACCAAGCCTTTTACTCTACGTGTTGTAGTACTTTGCAAAAGCCGGTAGATGCCGCCTTACCGAGAGAACTTTGCTAACTAAACCAACTGCATAAGGGGGATATCACTGCATCGAAAATGATTGATTGAGCTCTCAAGTTCATAAATTTAGAGTATGTGGTTGATCCTAGATCCTTGAACTGCCTTAATCCCTTGCATGCTTCGCCTCGGCTGGTTTATGTAGAGTATCAAAGTCCCAGTCCTGTTTAATACAAGTGATAGATGCCAGTCAAGCGATGAGGTCGAGATGCGACGGTTAAATCTTGGGGTTTTAATTCGTCAGCATATAGGATCTATTCAACCAAAGACTAGGCTTCAGTCGACTATCTATAACAGATTATATCCTATCATTCGGAAGCCCTCAAAACTCAAGCCGGGGGATTGCCTTCGGAGTCATGATCAGACATTCAAGAGTCAATGATAAGAATCTTACTTTGTGTCCTTACATAGGGTCCCTATGCCGAATATACGGCACTCATCCATAGACCGACCAATGTAAAGTAGGCTTATTTGAATCAGTCGCCCCTAAGACCCGTAAGGGACGGGAACTTTTGATGGGAGAAACCAGAGGTACAACACCCACGCAAACATTCAGGCGCCATTGGTAGGTCCTACTTGAAACATCTTAAGCAATGTCTCAAACTCCCAATGCCCTATCATTGAAAGAACTTTGATATGGAGAAAAGCTGGTTCCTTGCCACGGAGATATTCCTATCTCGCCATTCTTGTAAGAGCAGATACCGCATGGTGGCGTTGATTTGGATTGTTTCGGAAGCTTTGCCGAGATATATATCGGGTAAGTAAGGTACAGACGTTGATCTTTTAGATCTCTGCGGCAGTCATCTTTTTTGGAGTCCGTACAAAAATGCTTATGTATGCATCAGGTTGGGATGGGGTTTACGGTTACCCTACTTGACAGTTCAACGTGAGTGGCTTGGTTGGTCTCTTGGCCCACGACGCGAGCGCGTAAAGCGCGTTTGCCAACAAACAACCCCACGCCTTCACAAGTTTACCAGTTCACCAGAAGTTCAATATACATCGATTTTCATCTCAAAGTCTTACATCATGAGTCAGTTCCTCCTCCTAGCTAGAATTTTGGAAATAGGCTTATCTCATACTCAGATTACGGTGGTTATGGAGATAATAACTATTCCGCAAACACATATGGTGGTGGTGGAGCTGGCGGCGGCGGCTTTATGAATAATTATAGCGGATCACAGGGTGGTGCAAGCCAACAAACACCAGGAAGTGCTTCAAAGGTCAGTGTCACTGTGGTGTATCTATCCTGTAACCATACTGATAGAGCAGATATAAAGAACCGTGCATCAAATACTCTTCGTCCTGTCACGATCAAACAGATTCTCGAAGCTGTCCAACCTTATCCAGAGGCGGAGTTCAAGATTGACGATGTAGAATTGAGTCATGTGGATCACCCCATACTTCTTATATTCCACTACCTAGGGCTAATCTAACCAATTTAGATCACTTTCGTTGCCCAGATCCGTAATATCAGCGAGCAAACTACGAACATCACCTACAGAATGGACGATGGCACAGGAGTTATTGAGGTGAAGCAATGGGTTGATGCTGATAATGAGGATTCAGCCTCATCAAAGCTTACCACTAATCAATACGTACGAATTATTGGTGCTCTTAAGCCATTCAACAATAAACGTCATGTTGGAGCTCATCAGATCCATGCAATTACGGATTTCAACGAGGTCCAGTACCACCTTCTAGAGGCTGCAGCTATTCATCTGCATTTCACACGAGGTCCCCCAGAACAGTTTGCTGCTGGGGGCGGGGGCGGTGTGGCCCCTCATGGGCAATCCAAAAATGTAAAGACTGAGGATACAGCAATGGGTGGAATGGGTGGCGGCAGTAATTTCCCGCCCAATGCATCTAACATCTCCAGGAGGGTACACGATGCTATTCGCGCTTGTCCGACCCGCCCCGATGGTATCCATGTAAACATCATTTCACAGAAGAGTGGTCTGGGGATACCACAAGTTTTCAAGGGAGTGGAAGAGTTGTTGGAACTCGGGCTTGCTTACACAACTACGGATGATAACCATTTTGCTCTTATGGATTTTTAAATTTCCAATTTTCAAAATTTCGGGACTCACGGTGGGATGCGGGAGTTATGGGTAGTATGCGATGCTCTTAATGTAAACTACACGTAGAACACATATACCAAGCAATTCAGAAGTTCTACATGCAGGTAAACTTGAACTACGTAAGACACGACTTGTGCCAAGACCATCGATTTGTATCACATGTGTTTGTAACTTGCAGGGGGCCTGTAAGGAGCCGCAGGGATGGAATCCCTAAATAGGTCCTTTAATAAAATTCATTACGAATTGCTCCTAGGAATTTCGACCTGTCTGTCTTTACTATTCACATGTGCTTTCAACACCATTGGGTTTTAGTTACATACAAAACTTCCAACTTTAGTCACTCGTTCTACTTATCAATATCTCTTTCGCAGCCATCATGGAAGAGGAATTTCAACGTACCGCCGAGTCTTTGAGCGTTCACCTCCCGATCCCCTATCGGGTTATTCTAATATTCATCATAGGTCTGCCCCGAACGCGCCTACGCCCCGGTTATGCCTGCGCTGATGGATTCTCAACGGTATAGGCATATGGCTCTTTGGCCTGAATCTGCATTACTTCAGTATCATCCGGATTGAGGCTGGGCCGATGCTACGATACACACGCAGTGCAAACGAACCCCCATTACACAGTTCTGTTTATCAGGTTGCACTTGTGCTGTCGGCGCTTTTTGGGCTAAACTTGGTCGCCTTCTGGACCATGACTGGTGGAAATGAAGAGTTGGTCAAGGCGTGGGAGATCTTACCATCGATGCTGTTTGCCGCGATTGTCGGTATATTCTTATGGCCATTCGGGGGTTGGCACAAAAGGGGACGATGGAGGTTTCTACGGTACGCGTGATGGCCTATTGGGATTATTTTTTTTTGTGGGGGTTTTATTGTGACCTCCCCCACGCACTCTGAATCATATTTCGCGATGCAAATATCTAATGCTTTCGCCCTACATTTGTAGAATGCTCCGACGGATTCTCATCGGCGGTATCCATCCTGACCTACGCTTTGCCGATATACTGCTCGCCGACGCATTGACGTCATACGCGAAAGTTCTCGGAGATTTCGCTGTCTGCATTTGCATGTTCATGAGCGGACACTCCTCGACAAATACTTCCCCCAACCGTGCTTGTGGTGGGGTGTACCTAGTTCCTTGCGTGATGGCATTGCCATACCTGATACGGCTGCGACAGTGTTTGACGGAGTATGTCCGTGCTCGACGCAAAGGTGTCACTGAGCGCCGTGTCCACCTCTACAATTCTGCAAAATACGCTTCCGCCTTCCCGGTAATCGTTTGCTCAGCCCTACAACGTGAGTATGATCCAGATGTGCCGCATATGTTCCAGAAATCAACACTTTCGAGAATGTGGTTGTGCGCTGTTGTGTTCAATTCTTGTTTTTCGTTTTATTGGGATGTAACGAAGGACTGGGATCTCACCTTATTTTCATCCAAGCGTTCCTCTGGGGATTACCCATGGGCTCTTCGGGCGAACCGTCACTTTGTTGCTGTGGGGTTCTACTACAGTGCAATCATTGTTGATATCTTGTTGCGGGCAACTTGGAGCTTTAAACTTAGTCCTCATTTAGACCACATCAATGAGATGGAGGGTGGTATCTTCATTCTTGAACTTTTGGAAGTATTTAGACGATGGGTCTGGACATTTTTCAGGGTTGAGAAGGAATGGGTTCACTCAAGAGCTGGTGGTGGGTTAGGGTTCTTGGAAAACGGGGAAGGGATGCAACTACAGGAATTTGGATCGAAGTTCGTCGAGGATTAAGCCGCTCTGGTTAACGGTTTATAGGAAATGTTTTAAAGTAAGTTTCTTGGGTATACCGGACAAAATTTGGCGTATTTGTAGGGTTTTACTTTCTTGTGTGGATTTTTGACCATTATTTAATACTCAGGGTTCATGTTTACTACTTTCCTATAGAAATTAATGATATGGATAATTGAAATGGGGTCGAAATATATATATTCGTCTAAGCTACCGGCCTAATATGTCGATAGCCTGTCAAAATACATACACTAGTTCATGTATATACTTCTCGTCGTACTATCATGCGTATGCCTATTCACAAACACTAACCCATTTTCTATCGAGCCAGCTATGAACCAAAGCAGATACGGCCTGAAGAAGGATCATTTCTTCTTGTGATGATCGACAAAGGTGTATCCAGCCTCGTGAATATCTACCCTTTCGTTAGGCTCGCGGTTATATGACATCCTTCTGAGAATTTCGGTACAGCCATCACTCATCGGATCAAAGATATCATCGACTTCAAAATCGAGAGCCCTGATCTTTCTCTGAACCACCGTTGTCAGAGAATCATCGACGAAACCGCTATCGTCGAGCTCGTGATCAAATGGGAGCTGAAGATTGGCGTCAGGGCAATTGCAGGCCCTGGCAGGTCCATTACAGGTGAGGCAATCGCCGAGAGTGATTTCTTCGAAACCGTCTTCGGCCGGTTGAATTTCGTTTTCCATTTTGATTCTGGAAGAAGTGTTGATCTCGAGGGTGATTTCTTCGAAGTCGTCTTCGACCGACTGAATCTCGTTTTCGATTTTGGTCGCGGAAGTAGAAGCGTTGACCTCAAGGGTGATTTCTTCGAAATCGTCTTCAGCCAGCTGAATTTTATTTTCGATTGTGATAGAGGAGGGCTTGATGACCTCGAGGGTGATTTCTTCGAAGTCATCTTCGACCAACTGAATCTCGTTTTCGATTTTGGTCGCAGAAGTAGAAGCGTTGACCTCAAGGGTGATTTCTTCGAAATCGTCTTCAGCCGGCTGAACCTCGTTTTCGGTTTTGATCGCTGGGGAATTGATGCCCTCGTTGATGCCAATCTTACACACAACGCAACGGGCGTTTAAGATAGCATTGGCCTCGTCCAAGTCCCAAATATCTTGCTCGATTTTGCAAGTGCACTTGTTGCTAGTGGTAGCTCCAGCTTGAGTGGTGGCCCCAGCTTGAGTGGTGGCCCCAGCTTGAGTGGTGGCCCCAGCTTGAGTGGTGGCCCCAGCTTGAGTGGTGGCCCCAGCTTGAGTGGTGGCCCCAGCTTGAGTGGTGGCCCCAGCTTGAGTGGTGGCCCCAGCTTGAGTGGTGGCCCCAGCTTGAGTGGTGGCCCCAGCTTGAATGTCCTGGCCCTGAATAACTAAATTAGCACTAGTTTTTAAAAGACTACATGGTTATAACAGTGAAATAATGCATTTACATGGTACATGCTATTGTACCTTATGTGTGCCTTCTCCATCAACCATGTTTTCGAAAAGCTCTTGAAGATAACTTTTTTCAAGTTGCTGCTTATACGGAGCCAGCACCTTGGTGAAATTTTTTGGGGACTTGTAGTTCAAGCCCAAGTCATTGGAGATCACTCGAGTGGAAGGCTTCATCTGAAAGACAATATGAAGTTCGTTGCCTTGATTTCAGTTTTTTTTTTAGTATTAGTTTTTTTGGCTGTAATAAATATAACGTGTCAGTAATAGTAATAATAGCAGCAAACACATTGATGGTGGAGATGAAGGAGACTCACATGGCTGAGCGGAATTCCTGCTCAAGAAGAACTTTTGGTAACTTTTGAAGAAGCTTGATCGAGCTCTTGAGGAACTATGAACAAATAGCGATGCTACTTGGACATACAAGAAATTTGATAGGCGTCAATGTACCGACTGCCTAGAAAAAAGTTGAGGATGATGGAAGATAGGTAGTGGAGAGAGTGAGGAAAATGGAAGGGGGACGAAAGTCGAAGTGGAAACGTTGAAGGTAAGAGGAGTAGGTATTTGCGCTAAGCCATAGTATGGTGAAAAGGCTCCAGGAGACGTCATCACCTCCAATAGTCACCAGATGTGCCTCCTAACTGCAAATTAAAGTTCTTTACAGGGAGGCAGAAGATTTCACTTGCTCTTATCCTCGCGTGAGCTCAATTTGCTACGCTACAGCTGTGTGCACCTTCAGTATCACGATTGGGCAAGAGACTGACTCTAGAAACGACTCCAAATAACGTCGTAATTTCTTAATTTCGAACTTCCTAAATTTCTTGTAGCCTTCTCTTATTACAATCAACGGGACCAGTTTTTAAATCGTCCGCTCCTAAATCGGTCAACGAGGCTTACGATTCCACTGCCATTTTAGATCTCAAGACACTTACACATAAATGATACTCCCCTATGGAATGCTAGATTGCTTTCTCAACTGTAGAAGCAGTTTCTAAGTTTACGAATTTCTCATCATCAGATCTAGTCTCAGTAGACTCTACAGTCTCACCAAAGGTATCTTCAACAATAGCATCCCCTACCACGACCACTTTATCCCCGTAATCCACCATCTGCACAAAGACTGTACACACCCTCGCATTCTTGGAACAAAACTTACAGTTCTTATTCACGCAGACATAGACTTCCCACCGTCCCTCTTCTAGCTCAGCCATGGTGATGGAAGTGCATTTACATCTACTACACTCCTTACACCCTGGATGAAAACCCACGCCGATTTCATAATAGAATATGTCTCCACCATATCTTTTCACCTCTATCGCAACAGAAGTGCATTCGCAGTGTGTGTTGGTGCTATTGGGAGCCATGTATATAATGGGTTGTATGTATGTGGCTGCGTGGGGGTATAGGCAGTGTTTGTATTGCTTGTATACGTACGCGTATCTGTTTGAATATGGAGAATGAGACTGCAGAGAGGTGGGAGGAGTTATAACATATTCCAGGTGGGAGTACTCAAGCATCTTGAAAATCTTATGCGGAGTTTTTCAAAATTTCCGAGAGAATTTCATCTTGGAAGCTTTTTTTGAGGGGAGATACCTTGAAGTTTTTAAGCAATTTTTTGTAGCCCACGGGATTCTTGGAGATGCTACCTGTTTCTCGGGAGTACCTTTCTTGAGCTATATATGCAGCGAATGGGGAATATATTTGATTCAGGGGGATTTCATTGACCATGACCAATTTTTGCCCGCGAAGCGACAGTGTAATCGGCGTCTTTACTAGCTTGTGATAGAAATGATAATTTTGACATGTTTTTGTTTTTTAGCAATGCTAAGTTCTTTGATTACTGAGCAGGTTGATCTTGAGTTTAAACCAATCATAGACCATAGTTTAACCAATCATTGACCATAAGTCTTATGTCAAGCTAAACAGATTCAGATAACCTACACGTACACACTGCACAAACACAAAACGAGTGATGTTTTGTGATGTTTTGTGACAAAGTCCCCGGCTTTAGCGCTTCATTCACCAAAGCTCACTCGATCCAACGGAGACATCAAACCGTGCCGAATTCTGATCCAACTATACAATACACACATCACTTGGTCTATCTTGCATATTCTCATATACTAAACATTTAGCTCCTTCTCAACCTCGATTGTTTCAGTTTGCACCTTCCCGTTGTTCTGCATGCTCTCGAAATACGCCATTCGGTCTCTTAATTTCGACCTTACCGGGCTCGGTTTCTTCTTCGCATCTGGTGAGAAGCCCTCCTGGTACTCCCTATTCGTCTTTTCTGCCTGTTCGACTCGATCCTTACCCCATCTATCCGCCCGCCACGTTAGCCACGCTCCACCCCCATTGAAACCCGATACCAGGAAATACATACGGTGAAAGATTTTCCGGCGCCTCGGGATAGATAAATGGCTCCTTCAACTCTACTGTCATCTTCTTGATTGCCCTTGGCCGATACCATTCCAACCTTTTGTTCATCAGATGCGGCTTAGCATACTGAATTTTCTGCTGTTCAATGTACGATCGTACACTCAGGCACTCGACACCATATGCATGGTAAAGGTAGTCTTTCAAGTCGAGCTTGTTGAGGTTGAGCGGTACAATGAACTGCACGAAGTTGGGCGGCAGGTGGGGTTTTCGAAGGAGACCAATAGAAAAGTTAGGCCTGTGAAATTAGGGTAATTAGCTAGGTGAAAAGTACTGGAAGGATATTGTATGACGTACAGGAAAACCTGCTTGGTTCCGAACTTCATCGTGGCTGCGCGAGGGAAGGTGACTTCTGGGGAGTTTGGACAGGCAGTTTTGGTGGGATGTGAGGCTCTGGGAAGAGGTTTGAGTTTTTGCTTGGCGATCACGTGGAAGACCGGGGGGGGGGGGGCTTGACGGGAGGTGGGCTGGGCTTGGAACTGATTTTCTACGGGACTGGGACATCGAGATCATCTGAAAGTCTCGGGACCCATGGTAGGTGGATAGGGATGAATCTAGAATTTCTATGCTCCACCGAATTGAAAATAGATACTTCTTTCTTTTGTCACTTTTAAATTCGACGTTGAATAGACAGAAATAGAGGTAGAAGACTTTGGACTTCCCCCCACCTTCCCTGCTTGGCTCCGCTGCCGACGTCTCCCGTCGCCGTCCGACAATGAGAAAAAAGCATCCGACATAAAGAGCGAGGGGTGGGAATATATTCATCCGGAGCGATCGAGAGAAACTCTTCTTCCCTTTTTTTTTTCTCTCTCCCTCGTTCCCTCGATCCCTAACAACAACCACCGGCCAGCCAAACAAACGGCGTCATCGTGACATTCCCAGTTTCCCAGATCTGCGTGTGTGCTCGTGCTTGTGTGCTCCGCGGTGGCAACCCCGCATTCTCAATAAACTTAAATCAGCACACACGATCTCCGCGCCTTTCCCTTAACTGTGTGAAAGCTTGATTGAGGTTCCAAGCTCACTTCCAATTTCACTCCTATCCACCCCACGCAAAGCAATAAAACGCAAAATGGTGAAGTTCTACGAGAATGCTTTTTCTTACGAGTACGGTCCCTATTGAAATTCCATTTCTCCGAAACCGAAACAGCTATATTTCATATGGCTGCATAATAAATACCCAATTGCTAACCCATGGAATCAACAGTTACCAATGGCCAGCAGTAACACTTGCTTACTTCCTCCGCTATCCTAAGTCAGTGGAATAAATGCCAATTCCATCCTATGAGCTGCATCTAATCCTAATCTCCAGCCCTTACTCAACTCACGTCATTTCCACTGACACTCTCGCTTCCGAACTCGATCCCGTTACTGGGAACCTCCACTTAACCCGTCTCCATCTCAAACGTGGAAAGCTTCCTGCCAGCGTCGCCCGCTTCCTCCCTAAAATTAAGGAATCCTACATCCTTGAGCACTCAGTCGTCGACGTCAAGAACCAGCGTCTCGAGACCGAAACCCGCAATCTCGACTGGGAAGGCGTCCTATCGGTCGTTGAGTCGCAGGTTTACACGCCCTCAGCCGAACAGGCTACCCGCGAGGGAAAAACAGACGTGCAGACAATTGTGCGCTTCGAGTCGCGTCTTGGGAGCGGAAAGGTTGTGAAGGATGTCGAGGAGAAGCGTGGCTTTTTCAGTAATTGGACGACGGGATCAGTTCAGAGAAGCATTGAGCTAGTTGGGGTACGAAGAATGAGAGAGGGGCTGGGCAGGAGCAGGGAGGGCATGAAAGTTGTCTTGGAGCAACTAAGGGAGAGAGGCATGGTTGGTGTGCTCCGGGAGCAGAGAAAAGGCGGATGGGAAAGGTGGAAGAAGGCCTGGAGGGGCGAGGGAGAGCTAATGGACGATTTTCCGATTGAGAGGAAGTGACGACCTCGATAATGTCTGCTTTTCTCTCTCCGTTCTAGTTGTGCATCACGGTATCATCTAAAGCGGGCAACAATATCAAAAGCCGACAATCTATTGGTTACTCGCCCTTGTTCCTTTTCGAGCACAATCAAATATATAACCTTCTTGTATGATACGGGCAAACCGCCAGCAAAATTTCTTTCCTTTTGCCTTTCGGCATCTTTTCATGGGAGGGTTTTCTTCTTTGCATACTTTTTTTTAACTATTCCGATTTCTGTATCTTGGGATTTCAACATGCATCCTCTATTTGCTTTGGGGTGGTTGGAAATGTACTATAGCTATTAGCGGGGAAGCGGAGTGGGTTAGGGTTTCATCGGGATTTTGAAAGCGTACGATGGATAAGCAGTGAGCACGCAGCATGGATTAGGGTTTGAAATGAATTTAAATAAATGTCTCTCCTCTGTCAATCATCGATGTGGCATTGCAGATTTTGTGGGGTTATGTTCATGTTAGGGTACATCCGCTCTACTTGGCTTCCGCTAGAAAAGTAGCTGGGCGGCGCAAGTAACTTTAATTGATGGCTTGAGTACCAACCCCAAATATACGGGTCATTGTTCTGATCTCGCATCTATCGTACCATCAATGGCGTGCAATTGCGGATTCTGCCTAAACCGGCTTTGGACAGTGCGTTATTTGCGAGCTAGTTGGGTGATTGGTTGGCGGGTGGGTGTGGTGTCATAAGGTGTCACTCGACCAATGGTCTTAATGGGGACCTACACTTATTACTTGCCGCTAATTGGGGTTGATACTTGTATCGATTGGCGAATTAAGAACTTGGGCACAAAAGATCTTTTAGCAGCCCACCACATTATTATGGCGATATCGAAACATAGGAGCACTGATCTTTATCGAGTAAATACGAGTCAAAATACATTGTGGGTAGCTCATTCAGAGGATGAACTCGTTATCTTACTAGATTTATAGAATATTATGTATATCTTTTATAATTATGATCACTTATCTAACAACCTTACGGTCGCATACGAGTATAAGAGATCATTATTATTATTATTGTGATTACTTCATAACATGTCACTCGGTGTTTGAAGATTTTTATTAAAAATATGTAAGGAAGAAAGCGACTTGCATGGAAGATTAATCTGCAACTAAGATTCGGTATGCTTTATGCATATGAACTTTGAAGCTAGGCCTCCCACTCGAGATGATAGGAAGCTGTACTCAACACGTTGTTTAGCTTTATTAATTTTAATCAAAATAATACACGGTTCATATAAACACTACTTTACCTTCAAAACATGCAGTATACCCTCAAACTTTTCTCTTTTTTTTCACTCTGATATATTTAATTCTCGACTTCAATTTCCCCACCTACTTCATTCTAATTCTTTTCGAAGGTTTATCAGCTTCCAAACCCTATTTCATCTTCTCATATCCCTTTGGGGATTGACAGTATTCGTCCCAAGTACGTTTAAGCTTCCTAGTGCGGACGAACGGCTCTTTCTCAGAATCAGAGCTATCCCTTGTGCCGACGCCCCATAAATTGGTTTGAGCTTCAGGAGATGGGGGCGGGGTCATATTGCCGTCATGAAAGTAGGATGTTAAGACATCTGACATATCAGGTTCCCCCAGCTGCGTGTCACTCGTTCTTTCCTCTTCATCGAGTGGTCCGAATTCAAGTCCAAGAGCTGAGAAGTTGCTAACAGTAGACAAGTATGAGAATGCAGATGAGGTGTCATCATAATTAGAATTATAAGCCAATTCAACTGTGACGATGAGATGGAAATTCTGGTTAGAAACTAATTTTGCAATTTAATCTCGGGAAACATATTGGCACCTGTCTCGTAGTGGCATGTGTTAAACCCAGGTTCATTCGCATCATGCCCATGCTCAGATTCAGGTTCGGCATCATAGCAAGTGCAGTTGACTATAATATCGCTGCATTTATTGCATCTGCTGCACTGGTCGGTTGTACCATCATCTTGCACAAGCAAGGAACCTGACATAATTGCTGCTGGTTTCAGAGATGTTGCAGCAGAGGAGTATTAATTTATCAGGAAGGACTTTGTTGATGAAAAATGATAGTCAATTAAGGGTGGGTAAGTTTGAAAGTAAGTCTTTTGAGGATGACGTATTTTGAAATAGCCCAGGGTTTTGGAGAGTAAATTTCAAAAGCAGTGCATGTTGGAATTTGAATGCTACTTCGATGGGTCAATTGATTCAATTGGTTCATTGTTCTCTGATTCATGAACGCATCAAGGCCGTCTCCTTCTGATATATCCCTTCGTTCGTTGCAGCAAAAACGGAGACATATTAGGCCTACGACGGCGTGGTGATATTCAAGAAATCTAACTATCTACAGACTGTGAAAACACCAAAAAAGGTATAGGAGGGTTCACAGAAAAAGAGGTTCACGGAGTGAGGGTTAGGTTTACTACCGAGTAAAAGTTGCCTACTATACTAGTTTCCGGTCGTGAAAACACACGAGGGGATGTACTCGCATTTCTTCGCCAAGGATTTTCACGTGGTCCCGTTCCCCGAAGCTTCACCTACGAAACCCACTATAAAGGCCTCACAATGGGGGTCAGGTGAAAATCCTTGGCAAAGACACGCGAGTAAGTCTGCAATAGAGCGTATTTGCCAACCGTCAATTTCAACTATTGACACTTCAAACTTGACAGTTTCGGGAGGCAAAATTGACAGTTCCCCGCAGTGGCCAAAATCGATCTGGTTAATGGTATGACAGAATAAACCCCGAAAACCAGACAACCCATCACACTACCTGTGAAGTACGCTGTTGGAACTGAAAATTCATACCCATGATACTAGCTTCGGTAGTAACAAAACTGGGTACTTGTGATCCTCCTGGTATATCTCACAGCACGCCGCCCCACCGAAATTCAAAATTAACAGCCCCGGTTGCCATTTCGGAGCCCCACAATTTGTAAATTCTTGAAATTGACGGTTGGCAAATACGTTCTAATGTGCCAAATGTATGGATTATCAAAACACATTAGTATCATATTGGGCATGAGAGCTTTGAGAGGTCGTGGCCATGGTCTGATGAGGTACGCTGATGTACACCCGCAGGAAAAAAGTGAGGAAACAACGAATGCAACCAATCCGAGCCCCAATGAAAAAGTGAAAATAGAAATGAATAGAAGTAATAGAACTACACAATGAGATACAGAATAGATACTACGGCCTCTGAACTATATTTACTACTTTTTATGACTTCCCTTATTCTTTACTACTGCTGCAATTCTCTTTGGTATGCTGTCAATGATTTATATACATTTTCTCAATCTGGCCTTTTCCACTCTTCCCTAGCTTGGGCTTCAATAACTTTTATGTTTTCATTCAGAGTAGCCTCTCTTCGCTTTCCGGACTTGTCAAAGGGCATGACTAGGGAATACTCATGGGGCTGTATTGCGGGTGCGGGGATGTCAAGTTGGACGCACTCGTTGTCACGCTACTCATTGTTTCCTCACTTTTTTCCGGCGGGTGTACATTAGTGCACAAAATCATAGATCTTACTTTAGTGTATGCAATTTAGATTCATACTGTAAACTGCAGCCAAACTGCACACTGCAGTACTGTTGATGATTGTTAGTGACATTTAAGGCTTGGCATCATATTATCAATACCTTTGCATCCATTGCATAATATGCTCATTCGACATAGAATTTTTCTTTCCTTTTTTTTATTTTTAGAAATTCAATCACACAAAAAGTGAAGTTACACTCTATCATGAATGTGACTGTTCCTTATCACACTCATCGAGCTTCTGATCAGTTATGTACATATTGGAGAGAGCACAGGACGTTTAAACAAGTTTTCCGGGTTGGTTTTTTCCTCTGCCATCAAGGTTTGTTTGAGTTGTGAATATTGAAGACTTTCATATGTTGGTCAAATATCATGAATCAATATAACTTTAGTAAATTGAATCTGAGAAGAAAAAGGAAAAAGAAAAAAAAATACCCCAGCTGACAACACGTTTTGTTCGAATCAAGGGAACGGCTTTTGCGCCCAATAAAGATGACTTTGTTCATCCTATTAGCATCTATGCCAAAGAATAATTATAAACGACATAAATATTGGGTTAACTTACTGTTTTGAATAGGAGTGAATGCGTCTGTCGTGGACGTTTTTCTTAGCGGAGTTTACGAGTTCGTTGACTTCGGCCACTTCCATCCCATGAACATTTGTCAACAGCCTCATCCCGAAAGCATCGAATGCATTCTCTGCTGTAAGCAAGATATATGCGCCCATGGCTTTTTGTTTTTGATCGGCAGGCCAAGTTCCGACCGGGATTTTTTTCATTTCCTGGTGCACATTGATAAATCCCGCTGTCTCGATGCTGGCCTTTAAAGAACCGGCAATATTAAATACCCGGCCTGTTTTATGTTAGCGTTTTCTTCTCGTCATTTGGGGGCGTATGGTAATTTGGCAATGGTAGACTACCAGATTCTGCGGCTGCCTGATTAACTAGGTCATAAAACTTGTATAGGCCCAACCCTTCGTGGAAAGTGCCATCATCACTAAAGAGATGCATATCGTATTCTGAAAGATCAACCCAACCACCAGGCTTGAGATTTCTATTTATAATAAGTGTCAAATACCGATTCTCTGGGAGTCTTGACATAACTTACTTGTAAACTTCTTTCAGAAGAGCATCCCAGTCTTTGATTGCACCACTCAAATGTCTGATATGGATCATATCGAAGGACTCTTTGGCCCATGTCCATTCGCTTTCTGCATCATCGATTTGGAAATGTACATTTGGCGGAACCCTAGTTGATATTTTAGTACATCCGGAGACAAATCCACCGTGACAGGTATGTACGTACCAGGCTGGTTGGATCGGGCTCAAATCGGTCCCAATGACTTCGGCGTCTGGGTATCGTCTATTATTTCATATCAATATGTAATCTTCTCTACACATAAGCGGGCAAGAAAAAAAAAAAAAAAAGAAAAAAAAAAAGTCTGCATGAACTCACTCCCCAGCATCAATTGCCCAGATACCAGTGCCGGTCCCAATGTCCAGAATTCTCGTTGGATTTGGGCCGATGGGCGCCATGTGTAACTCGCCATTCAGTAGCATAAGGTATGTATGGTGAATAATGTCGAGTCTTTCTTGCTCTGCATCGTCATTTGGGAACATGTATTTCCTGCGCTGTTGTCAGTCTATTTACTCCCCCAGAAGAGAGGCAGAACTCACCCATCCCGATACGCATGGTATCTACGACCGTTTTCAAACCGATAACTATCAAAGTGTGAGCGAGCCGATTCTAGGGTGAAAGGATAATGATCATGTGTACTCGAAAATTGACGATTTCAAAGTATTTGTCGATTCCTCGGTCGCCTCGCTCCTGATTTCTTCATTAGTTACGTCTCCCATAGCATTATTGATCAAAGCGCGACGCCAACTTACGATTCAGAATCGTAACCAGAAGAATAGAAACTTTGATCCTCTTCCTGGTAGTCAATCATAATCATTGTCAGTTGAAATATTTCCACTTATTCATAGTTGAAGATCGCTCACAGGATCTTCGTCAATAGCAATGAACTGTTGGGAAGCCATTTTCCCGTAATTGTCGTTGGTAGAGAGTGTATTGATTGAACAATGAACTTAAAACTGCTTGATGGCGTGCAATATTGGAGGTTATGTATAATAACGGCAAGGGACGCGAGACTCGTGGGCGAACTGTGCTGACTTGGGTCAGGGGAGAATATTCATAGATTAAGTATCTGTAGGCTAACGGGGGTGGTGGATGGCTCACATTAAGGCTGGTACTTAAGAAAGAGCGTGGTCGTCCTTTTCTGGTGTCTCAACCAGTACACTTTGTGTACCTATCCTACCTAATTCTTCTCGCCCCAAGCCAACATGGACAGCAATTGTGATAATTCAACCCGAAAGGTCTTAAATAAACTCCAGACGCAGAGCCACCTCCCCAGTCCAAATGTCTCGAACCACAGCCACTCAAACAATTGGCATTACATATGAATAAGACCCGATACAGAAAGGCCCAATAAGGTTACCGATTGAGTTACCGATTGAGCCACAGATTGTCCCCACCAATTATGGACTCGGAGTGATGGCACTCTACCAATAGAATGGCTCCTGTGTCTGTCCTTACTCGGGGTTTCAATACCTCTTACCAGAGTCAATCAATATAACTACATGTATCATCTAGGAAACTGAGAATCTTACCGAGTGCAGGACACTGTCAGTACTTACTTACTGGCGAAAAGTGCATAAATCGTTGTCCTCTTCTTGGCTCAAGCGCATCTCACACCAGCTAAAGTCGGAGACCCAATTAGGCTCATCGAAAAAAAGGTTGCGGGTACAGCCGCTACAGTTTTTTTCAAGCGGTCCGTGCTTGAATGGGCGTTTCTTAGTGGGGATGGAGCACTAAGCCCAGGACTTCGGAGACGAGAGACGTCCAGCCTCCTCCCTGCTTCCGAACGGCCAAGCATTTCCCTCCCCACAAAGTCTCTCAGCACGTACGTGCCGGCACGGAAATCTTCATGATACAAATGCAAACTTATGGACGAGGGTTTAGAACCCGGCAACCAGATCTACTGGAGCATTAATCAGTTAGAAAAAACAACTATATGCATGGAGTTATTAGCATAGAGGCGGAATTTGCCTTGTGCAGCACGTTATACTAGTATGGAATGCCACTAACATGGAACAGGCCGATTGCCCTACATTTGAGATACGTTATTCCGCGTTCTTTATGGCTTCGTGGACCACGGGGCCAACATTGGATCCACAAAATTCAAACCTTAACAGGACCCAAAAAGAAATAAACCCGGGCTCTTTGCTCATTTCTTTGTGGAATCGATTCTGGAAGGGTTACGCATGCCCTCCAATTATACTTGCCTGCATGAGTTAAGTCTTGTACATGTAGGCCATTCCCAAGATCGTACCTAGGTACATCTATCCCTTTCCTGGCGCACTGGCATTTGCTTCTACCTACTGAGGTTCAACTCTCCGAGAATCCTCGAGCTACTTTAAATCGAGGGGTTAATTTCCCTCGATCACAGTAGATCAGCATTGATTTGTACTCTACTGGCACACACCCACACAACAAAGCCCAATTTTAATAATCCCAGACCAGCTAAGGAGCTACTATAGATGTCTGTCTGTGTTAACGTTAAATATATCAAGGTTCCTCCCGCACAAGTCTTATTAGAAAGTTAACAATCATCGAGAATTATCGTCAAATACGCCTACAAGTCGATTAACAGTGCTTAACTACTGTGGCCGGAATACTGCTGAGCCTATGGGGGTGGGGGATGTAATTAGTACCGATAAATACATGTCCGTTTCATGAATTCTTGAAAAAACAGCCCGGGTTCAATTCAGAAACAGGCCTGACAACCCGCACAAAACGATTCAGTTTGATTGGCTTCGATGATGCCCTCTGCATCTTGCCACTGCCTATCGCGCAGTATTGAGCTTACGAGAGTGACTTGTGGCCTCTCTTTTGGTTTGTGCTTTCAAGTACTTTTTTGAGATTTGATGATGCCGCCCATCTTTGGTAGAATCTTATTGAGTGTCTGATATTGTAGACCAGATATGTACTCTACTACATGCACTTACCTCTTATTATCCCATGAGAGGTCCGAGAAGATCAATAATCAATGCGCGGCGCAGATGCCTAGGAGGAGTGAAGAACTATTCTAGTTCATCAAGAGATCTGCTTTGCCAGTTAAAACAGCGTACGTTGCTAGACTCTACACCAGCAGATACTTATCAATTCTCTAGTGAGAAATATCGTTGCTGATGCTGATCGTGACGCCAAGCCCTCTGGATTCAACAGCTGTCCTGGAATGGGATGTTCTCCGTTGGAAGATAGCCTGCGGATGTTTGTCTTTTTCATAATACCTCCGCGTTGACCTGGACCATTCTACTTTCTGGGCGCGGATAGTTATCGCAATTAGGAAAAGCAGAAGATCATTAAGTAATTCAGAAATGATGGTCTCGACTGGCGCGATCGTCGTGCCATGTCCAAGGTTGTGGTGTGGGCACACACCTACTGGTAAACAAAAAAAAAAAAAAAACCGCCCATGAGGCTGATAACAAGTGTGGGACCTGTGCGATCTGAGAGGGGTAAGTTTATCTTATGTCCATGGTCGATAACCTATTAAATTGTTGCTCCCACTAGAAGATTTCACTGGTCGATATTCGAAGAGGTCAAAGCCCAATGTGTCGAGTACGCCCAAAGCCACAATGCAACCATCAAGCTGAATTAGGTACTCATCTACCTTCTGTGACTCGAAGTGTGAACGCATTGCGAGATCGGGAATGGTGGAGCTACCTTGTTGGGTTTCCCGAAAGATAACTTTGTCTCCTAGTCTCACGCCTTGATCAGGTATGAAATCTCAGAATGTTGAAATGTGAGTGAATCGATGCTAAACCAAATTGGAGACATCTTGGTAGCGAGATCACTTGTGATAAAGAAATAGTAACTGTATGTAGGATGAGGCCTGGGAAGGACCTATTAAATCCATGAACCAGGGCGCAGCGAGTGACAGGCGTGAATAATATGGGTCTGTATTTGATTAGTAGTGACAGACCATAAGTTTTTAAAACATAGTGTTTAAGATGAAACTCATTTCAGGTATTTGAGAGGATGATTTGAGCTGACAGACATATTACATAACGTGTTAAATAATCCAGCTGCCAGAACTTATCAAAGACGATAGATCTATTAGTACCTGTATTGTATAAGTAATGGGAATTTATCAAACTTATCTGAAGAGCTGTATTACTTACTCTCTTTAAAGGCCATGATCCACCATATATCGAACGCAGAATGTATCAAGGGATTAGTCTCGATGGGAACTGAGATATATATTTTCTGTATAAGAAATTAAATTAATTAGACCTCTCATATAGTCAATTGCTTCGCTATTGATAATAGCGGGGCCCGGGGTCTATCAGGGTCAACAACATGTTCAAGTTGCATGCTTCAAAAAGGTCTGGTAGTTAACAGGATCGTTTCATTGATGAAAAAAGTGGGGCTGGTTGGCAGATTCGCATAAAGCTGAAAAGGTCGATAACTAGGTGTATTGACCGCATTTCCAAGTTGCATAACACAAAACCATGTGATCCAAGAGTGCTCTCTCTGATCTGACAGGTATTGTAAGTCTTATTCGAAACACTTAACTGGTCGGGGAAGCAGCCGGCGATTGATGAGTGATGCAAGATACAAGATGCAAGAGTCAAGACTTAACGGTGCAGTGTGTCGATATCTTGGAATGCTCCAATTCGTGAGGGAAGAATAGTGATGTTACACCAGATCGTCAACGTGGATGACATGACGTCTTCCATCGGACTCGGAACATACCGAGACTTAACTCAATGGCACGACCTCGCCCCACTACATGTAAATTTACAAACCACGATACAAGTATCTCCCACAAAGATGTATATTCATCCTTTCGTAACCTTTGTCTTTGCAATCTGCGTGCCTGCTCTTCTATACTACATGCGTTCTGCAATACCAGCGTTATTCAGAAGATCAATCATGGCCTCTAACGCAAAGCTTATTTGTTCGTCCGATCATCCCACTTTTTTATGCTTCATAATCTAACTAGCCCAATAAGTTGCGCCGAAAGACGACCAATACCTCCGAGGAAGCCTTGATCATGATAACCTTAACGAAGGTTAATCCCCCTTGTCTTCTCAGTTACTCTGCTAATTCGCTCCCAAATAGACCCGTTCCAGCAGTTCCACGCTTGGTTCAAAGAAGCACAAAACCATCCCATTTCTCAGCCGGAGGGTACAACCCTCTCTACAGCAAGTCTACCATCCGGTCGCGTCTCAGCACGAACAGTCTACCTCAAAGAGCTAGACCATCGGGGATTCGTCATTTACTCCAACTGGGGCACCTCTAAAAAGTCAGAGGATGTCGCCAGCAATCCCAATGCCTCGTTGACCTTCTGGTGGAAGGAGCAAGAGAGGCAGGTTAGAGTTGAAGGAGTCACCGAGAGGTTGACGGATGCAGAAAGTCAGGTCTATTATGATACTCGGTATGCTCCACACTGACAACAAGGCCAAATCGCACAGAACGGTTAACAGTATACTTCCAGAATTCGTGGGTCCAGGATCGGCGCATGGGCCAGTCAGCAGTCCTCTGTCCTCCCTAGCAGAGAACTGCTAGAGCAGCAGGTAAAAGAAGTTGAACAAAGATTCGAAGGCCGAGAGAAGATCCCCGTACCTCCCTTCTGGGGCGGCTTGAGGATCATTCCAACGTATATTGAATTCTGGGTAATCCACCTCTTTGCTCAAGCATTTATACATACTACAGTCTATAATTACTAATTTTCAATAGCAAGGGTATTACCCCGCACTAGGCCACTCCATCTAACCCCACAATTCGCTTACTCATACTAACCTTACACTTGTAGTCGTCCGAGTCGTTTACATGACCGCTTTGCATATACTCGGGAGTCGCCCACAGACACAAATTGGAAGATTGAGCGTCTTTCACCTTAGTACATGCCGGGAATTGCTAACTATCACCAGCAAGTCAAGTTCCATTTCCTATACCTAGAATTATTCCCTTTAAGAGCTGCGAGCCAAATATATATGTAGAGCCTGAATGGAGTTGTTTGTCTTTGTTTCTTCTACACGGTAGCTATACATATGTTACAGCGAACCCTAAGAAATAGAGAGAATACAAAAGAAAAACGAAACCAAATGGAAGAAAGTTTGCCCAATATATATGTTGAGAGCCTGTACAGTATACTAACTAATTATAGAAAGCAATTTAGTATGCGATATTATCGCAAGAGTGGAGATTCCTTTAAACCCAGATGACAAAAAATCAAGAAGAAAAACGCCCGCCTGCTACCCAACCCGAACCCAGAATGATGTGGGTATAAAAAAATATAAACAGCGAAGTGAAGCAGGAAATGAAAACCCAAGTAACAAATGAAAACCCAGAGATACCAATCACGAACCTCAAAAACACCGCCGAAAAGAGAAAAAGAGTAATAAAATGGGGGTATGGTGGTAAAAAGGAAAGGTAATTATGTACCAGAAAGAGAAAATAGTCCCCAGAAAATTGCAACCCCCAACTGACCAAACAGTTCGTGTGTAGATATCTCCCCAGCTTTTTGTGATAGGAAAGAAATAATAGGAAACCCCCGTACCCGATTCTATATCAAGTACCCAGCCAGCCAGATAGAGACATTAGACCCAAAGAAAAAGGAAACGGACAAACAATCTAAACCGTAGCGATGGCAGAAACCTCCCTCCCTCTAACCAACTCAGCAACCTTCACAGTAACCGCATGGGGATATCCCCTGCTGCCCATCTCTTCCACAACCCTCATCGCACCTTCTCTATCTTCAACCGCCAAGTACGCTCTTGTCATTGCCTCGTACGTACTCGGCTCCCTCTTTAGTCTGTCGTTCTCGTTGTTGCTCAGCGAGTCATACACCGCCTTCGCTCTTACGATGTCCTTCTCCGTTGCCCATCCGTGGATTAAAGTGTTGGCGATATAAGGTGTCATCCTGATTCCCCTACGTTTCATGTCCGCAATCCAGGCAGGAGTGTCCTTAACACGGTGATTAGCGACCAGCGACTCGAGGAGCGCCTGGTAGATCGTGTTATCGGGTGCTACACTACCGCTCTCAGTGATGGCGGTAAAGTGAGCGATGGCGGAATCGAGGTCGTGTAGGATGCAACCCTTGGCGTGGATGAGTGCAGCGTGGTGGGAGGTCTCAACAGTCTGCCCATTGGCACGGATCATCTCGAGGATACCCTCGGCGGCAAGCATGTCTGGCGGGTCAAGTGTAGCGTAGGCTTCGATGAGGAGCTTGTAGGTGTGACCGGTGGGTTCAATGCCGAGCGACATCATACGGTTGAAATAGGCCATCGCCTTAGTGCGGTCGCGCTTGGTGTTGACGAAGAACTGGATGAGGGAGTTGTACGGAGCGGGGCGGGGCTTGTAGTTCGGCATTGCCTCCATCTCCTGGAAGAGTTCCTCGGCGAAGTGTTCGTCACCGACACGGGTCAAGGCATTGATCATGGTTCCGTAGGTGACACTAGTGGGCTTGATTCCAAGAGCGCGCATCTCAGCAAAGTAAAAGAGACAGTCGTCGACGCGGCGGGCCTTTGCAAGTTTTCCGATGAGAACGTTGTAAAGGAAAGAGCTAGGGACTACATTTTCGGACTTGGCGCGCTCAAAGATCTTAAGTGCCTCAGAGGCCTCGTCGTAAGTCTGGTCGGAGCCCTTGAGAGATACTATGTACAGCCCGTAAGTGTTTGCGGAAGGCGATGCGCCCATCTTCAACATCTCCTCGTGATATACGGATGCCTGTTGGCGGTTTCCAAGGGTGAGGTGGCCGGCGACCATGGCATCGAGTAGAACACACCAGACATATCGGACGGAGCGGTATTCCATGAGCAATGGGGTGTCGTTCTTCGCATTTCGGTAGATCTCGTACATGAAGTCTGGTTGATTTGAGCTGGCAGCAGCGGCAACCATTCTTGCGAGGGTTGTCATGCGGACAAGTCTTCCTGCTCGGCGGGTCTGCTGGTACATGCGCTTTGCGTCTGATAGCCTTGGTCTGGTAGTCCTTGCTCCCTCAAGAGCATTGTCGATAGCCTGCGACACCTTGACATCGGTCTTGACCCAGTACGGATCAAAGTTGTCCTCCGGAATGGTCTCGCCCTCGCTGGCAACCAGTGTAGGGGAGCCACTCATCTCTGTAGAATGAACGGGTGAATGTGGCAGAGATTCCCAAACAGTTTGAGCCTGAACAAATGCATTCCACTTCTCGGTAGGATCACCAAGTGCCATCACTGCCTGGTCAATGGAGCCCTTCAAGGTAGGATTTAGCGGAATATTGGCCTTCATCGCAACAGAAAGCATCTGCTCAAACCTCTTGACATCCTCAGGCAGTTGCTCAAATCCTTTTGTTTTCACCTCTACCAGAACACCTGACTGAACCCGCAACAATAGATCCAATTGTGGCATTGTCAGTCCCAATATCCTCTCAGCACCAAACAGTTTCATGACAGTTCTGGATGCCTCCAGTCCCAACTGCCCACAATGAACCATGTTGAACCCACACAGATCCAATGCGATGCTTGGTGTCAAGAATCCCGTCCGAGAGATGGACAAAACCAGATGCTCGCAAGTCTGCTGTAAATAGTTCCTTCTAAGCATTAGTGGCGCACCGAAGGGGCGTTCCAGATAGAGGTCGATAAATTGCTTGAGCACAACTAATGCTTCGTTCGTAAGTCCGTTCTCAAACAGCATGACAGTGTAGAGTGTAGCGGCCTCTACGTCAGGCCCGCTAGAAAGAGCACGGTCGGCTAGGTCGCCCCAGACGCCCCGTGCGCTCTCAACCCTACCCGTCTTCACACATAGCGCAAGGAACGCCATCTGAGCAATTGCTGTGGCGGGGTGGCTGATGCCAAGACTTCGGACATGGGCATTGAATTCTACGTATAACTTACTAGCAAGATCAATGTCGCCCAAGTCAGAAACAGCAATGAGAGTTCTGGAGAGGCTCATGAAGTCAGATGCCCTCATGTTACGCGAGAGAATCCATTCTCGAGCTGCTTCAATGTTTTCCCGCTCCAAGAAACCCTGAACGACCGCATCGGCCAGTTTCTCGGAACGTACCTGATCTGTGCTGGCATCCATGATCTTCTCGAGGAACGAAAGCGCGCCGGCGGCGTCGTCGGCGTCCATGTAGGCTACAATTAGGGTCTTGTAAACACGGAACCGCTCATCAACTGCACCAGGTCGCTGCGCGAGCTCAGATGTCCGGTATTGGTTGTAAGTCTCGATCGCGGCGCTCATGTTTCCTGTCTTTCCAAAGCCCTTGATGAGCGAGAGCATGATATCGACGCTGGGGAGAACATTGCGCTGCTCCATGTGCGTGTAGACCTTGAGCATGTCCTCCTCCCGAACGTGTTCTGCGCACGCATCTGCAAGCACAGCATAGGTGGATTCTGGAAACACCCGCTCCTTGCGGACCTCGGTGCTTGCATAGAAGATATCCAGCGCCAGTTCCATCGGAGCCTGACTCTGTATCTCCTTTAGCTCTGCCATGCGGGAGGGAACGACGAAGCCAAACCTGGCTTGGTCGGCCATGATGCCCTTGGCGAAGTGAAGTGAGGTCTTGGCATTTGTGGCGAGGAAGTCGATGAGGATTGAGTATGTGACAGTACTCGGTAGAATACCCCGCGCAAGCATGTCCTTGTACACATTGATGACCTGTGTGACGCCGACGGTGTTTGTCTCTACGACGGCGGCAAGGAGAAGATTGTAGGTTGCTGCGCTGGGCTGAACACCCTCCTTGATCATGAGCTGGAAAAGCGCAGTGAGTTCATGGTGCTTTCCCTGGGATAGCAGGCCCTGCAGTTGTTGGTTATACAGCGTAGTCTCCGGGGATACCACCGGGGAAGCAGGTGGCACAAAGGCCTCCTCCTCCACCACTGGCGCCGCCAGTTCCGCCGCCTTCTCCGGCTGCGGGACCTCCTGAGCCTCCGCGGCCGCAATTGCGACCTCCTCCTCAAAGACCTCCTCTACGAATGCGCCCTCCTCAGGTACCTCCAATAGCGGTGGCACCGCATCTGCCGTTACCAATGATCCAGACCGCGACTTAACGGGGTCCGCCTCGATCTCTAGTAACTGCTTCTGCTGGTGCTGTGCCTTTGACCACAGGATCTTTTTCGAGAACAAGTACTTTTTACTGTCCTTGTCCTTGTCCTCATGGTAGGTATTCAAGACATCGCTGGTACGGAAGGCGGTGTTGAGGCGTGTCGGCGCATTCGACTGGCCGCTACTCCCACTGAGTCGCGAAAGCTGGACGGTCGACGAGGCATATGAGGATTGGGTGGCGGCAACAACGGATTGGGCGTATCCGTTGACGAGGTGCTTTGAGATGCTCTGACGAGCTAGCGTGGTGAACGGTTTGAAGACCATTCAGAGATCTGGTATCTAGATGGGCATACGGCGTATATGTCAGCATGCATCTAATGGCAAAGCAACCACAAAAAAAGTCTTGCAGAAACAAGCATTGGCGGAAATGATATGAGAAGCAAGGCAAAATAAATTGAATTGCGAGAGTAGGTAATAGCAATGGTAACGTACGTGAATATCCACAAGGGTTTTAGTGCTCATTTGAAGACGACACAATAATGCCGTCTGATGTTGTAGAGTGATGAGTGAGTGAGTGAGTGAGTATGAGTGAGGTTGTGGTGATTGTTTGAGAAAAATCGAATGAGTCCCGGAATGACCGCCACGAGAGAAAAAAAGTGTGCGGGGGGAAAAAAAAATTTATGGGTTGAAGTGGGATGATGAGGGCAGAGGGATGGGATGGAACAAAAGAAGTATCTATCCGATTAAGTAGACTCGACTGGGATGAGGGAGGCTGTGGCCACTGGCTGTAGAGGAGAAAATATAGGGATCGCAAAAAGAAACACAAATCGCGGCCCAGTGAAAAAATTGTGTAAGGTTGGCGGGGAGAAAAGCGGGTGGAAAATGTCAATGACGACTGCACGGAGGCTGTAGGCTGTATGTCTTGGGGATGATTCACCGCCTGGCAAACACTCCTAGACTCGCAATGTTACAACTTTTGAAAAAGGTGATCTTTTTGTCCTCTATGATCTCTCACTCGCTTCTGTATTTCCTTCACTTCATAATACTCGTAACGTGCGAGATGTTTCCGGGCCGAACTGGGTCTGCATATTACTGTAAATAACATTGTAAGCCAGACCTTGCATAAAGTGCAAAGTTCTAGTGGTCTGCAGACCTAATTCGTCTCGTACAAAGGGCCAATTCCCCACGCGCAAGAGAATATTCCGGAGGTTGCTGATCATGTAGGTAACTCTTTCAATTTTCTCTGGCTAGGCCCCTCAATATTCAAACTAATCAATAATAAATTCCTCCCTCATCTTCATGCTTCTGGCTCAGTACAGTACCAAATCCCAGCTAGAAGAGTTAAAAAAAATCTGATAAGCCCTCACACCCCAAAGGTAGATCCGAACGGGGTCGGTCCCGTGGACATTTTTTTCTCTGTAACCGCGGTGGAGCAAATTTCCTCCGGTCCTCCGAGAAGACCCGGTGCAATCCAGGTTTCTCGCCAGCGATTGCTGGTTCGGCCGACCCGGCTGTCTCGGGACTGTTGGTTGCCTCCGACTCGACTCATCCTTCCATTCACCCTCACGTCCTCTGAGGGTGCAGTAGTAAATAGCTGAACACCCCCCCTATCCGTGGTAGGTATCGTTCATCTATCTCTTCTGACCGCCGTGTAATTCAACTTCCCTTCACCCTTGGGCCTTTGATGATTTACCGAGAAACCCCCACCAGGCACTTTATTGAAGTCCAAAGAAAAGCTAGACCCCCTCTCTCCCCTCCAGATCCAAATATTTCATTCTCGAAGCCGCGTTCCGAAAACTTTATTAGTTACGCGTCGTCGAGTTTTCTGCTAGTCCGCTCGTCAACCCTCTGTGAAACCTGACCCTAGTCTTGGCAACTCGGAGCGCCTCATCCGCCCTACTGCTGCTACCCTACCTACCACACATACTTTACCTCAGTCGGCCGTATTGAGAATCTCACTCTCCCACAATATTAACCCGGAAGTCCTTTTAGGGTGTCCCGTTTGTCTCAAAGGGCTCCGGAAAATTATCTCCGCGTTACATACTACATAGAAGTAAAGTAGAGGGGGAGTGCATGCAGATGGTACTGTACTCTACCAGCAACAGTTGCCTTGTGGCGGAGCTTGAGCTCTGGGGCTCTGGGGCTTGTTTGCTCGCCCCTCACCCTTAAATGAGCTCGAGAGCTACATACGCGGGGAGGGTACAAGGAACGATGACTGTATCCAACTGTTTCTGCAGCAAACATTGTGTGAGGTCTTTCTAAGCTGCCAGGCAGGGAGCCCTTAGAGCAGATCATATGTAGTCGTCCTGCAACCTCATGCCTAAAGCACCCAGCAGCTATTATTTACCCCACGTTAGCCTATTGGTTGGGTATCATACCGCCGTCTAAATGCGTACCTAGCATCTAAGGAAACAGCTCTTCATATGATAGCAGCAGCGACGGCGGTGGTTGAGTTCTCTGCGACAAAGCTGGGCCCTTTGTTCTCTCCAGCACACCTCAAAGTGCAACAGTAGCAGCGCGTCATCCCCTCATCTCTCGGGGCGGAGGCGCAAGCTCATCCGCTCCGAGATGATGCTTCTTCCCCCCCAACCTCCAGTCGCCCAGAAGCAAACAACGAAATGAGCTCCTCGTGCACCCGGTTTGCATGTGATTCTCGGGATTGTGAGGTTGATCAAGAGTGATGGACTGTGGGGTTTAGATACTAATTATAAGTTACTTTATACCCCCGCATCGGGCACGACATGACGTACGTATACGTATGGGTACGTCGCGTTTTCCACTTAAGCGATTGCTTGGTTGCTTGGTGCGAGTGATGGGCTGTGAGTGAGTCAGGGGTTGGCGAATAAAGTTTGACTGAGTCACTGCTACATATATACATATATGCACGGTCCCGGGGATTCACGAGGTCTATTTCGGGAGAGAAAGCTTAAATCCACTTGGGACAGTTATCTTGTGGCATTGCCTTCTCCAACTCTTTCACCAATCGACAGACACGAACACCGCGCCATCGCGGAAGTGCCATCACGAACACCATGGTTACTGTCATAACCTGAGAAAGTGTTCTTTCGAGAGCATGCCTCATTTTATCTTCGAATAGGGAGAGCGAAAACCTTTCATCTCAATCTGCACCTGGGAGTTTTCGGATACCAACGATTGGATCGTGTAATCCCCAGGTATGACTTATCTAAAGCCTTTCAACCGAACTAAGCAGATCACTGGCCCGTAGTCAGATAACTCAGAAAGCCACAACTGCTAGTATGGATGGAATATAAAGATTTCTCGAGAACAATAATTCCCTAAGGTCAAACTCCACTTGAAGGAAAGAGGCAAACAAGACGGGATTCTTAAGGACTCGAGCCTCTAATTCCGACATGAATCAACAGGGCGTGGGCATATATACTACGGTAATATCATACCAATTATATCTTACCCTGCAGCGCACAAGCATCGACTCACAATCTATTGGCCGTGTCTACAAAGAGTCTTGGAGTCCCAGCCTTTCCTAATGGACAGTGCTTTTAACACATAAGCGTTTAGCGCTCCCTCCAACGCACGAATTATTCTGCACCCCTTCTGATATACTCAGCCCAGTGGTTTAACCGCCTCCAGACTCTCCAAACACCTGAAACACAGAGAACATGTGTCATGGCGCTAGTATTTGCGGTGGGACTAGGCAGAATAAACACGATTGCCTGCATAATACCAAGCTCACTGAAGAGTATAATCGAAGAGATGGACACAAGGAGCACTTGTACCCATGTGGGGAGAGCATGGAACGCGGTGATGTTTTCCATATGTCAAGCTGTCGATATCTCCCACGAGTCTGGGACATGTACCATGAACAAGAGTATTCATGTCACTATTCTAGCGAATATTGACTACCAACTACCAGAAGATTCCCAAATGGGCCACTTTATCCACGAATACCTTTGGATAGTCCTAACGACCTGCTAGCTGTTGACCCTTATGAATAGTCAGTTCAACAATGAACCTTCTCGAACTGCCTTTATGAGCTGTGCCACGCACATAATGGTGAATGAACCAACACCTAATATCTTCCGAGCATAAGTTGCCTCTTACCACCGCCTTTCGAAGAAGGCGGCTGAGTCTCTGCAGTATTAACCTACCACTTTGAGATACAGTCATTATTTCCAGATATGGCTTTGGTTTGCAATTTTATTGTCGAATTTCTAGAACGCTACCATCCAGTGCAGAACTGGGGATGTCAGGACCTGATCTAATCAACTCCCGCTTCGATCCGGGAATTTTTGAAGATTTTCCACTTCCGCGGATAGACTACATCGGATTGTGATGGGCCTTGGAATATAGGCTTGGGATTGGGGTTAGATACGCTGTAGAGTATGAACTTAAGTCTATGGTGTTTGTGTATGCCAGCACGCATCCATTATTCAGGCTGAGAGGGCACAAACACGGTAAATGAGAGCCGTCAGGTTCATAATTCCAACCTACTACGGGAGCAGTGTATGGCCCTGGTAATCGGGTCTCATCCCATAAATCACCCGTTACTTATACCTAGAAACCTCTTCTGGGTTGACTTTAAGCCAAGATGGTGGGTATATTGAGTTTCATCCCCCTGGGAAGAGGTGGTTTCTTTGGGATAAGTACCTTGAGATGAGGTACGGCTATACTGTGATCAATAACTATAACTACAACACTCTTAGGGCCTGTTCTGGTGGATACGAATAGATACCATGGTATCATGGCTCAATACCATGGTATTCGTAACACTATAGTATGTAAGAGGGCGTTCGGTAGGTCAAAATACACGGTAAAGTAGAGTACCATGATATCAGTAAATCCCCCCAGAGGTATTTACTGCGGCCCATACACCTCAACCTATCGAACACCTCAGTTACCGCAACAATGCTCAGTTTTTCTGGGGGGATGAAATACTACACAACCGAGAATACAATAGTATCAAAACCAAAGTGCACCCGATTAACAGGGCCTTAATAGGAGTAACTAGCACCGCAGAAACACCTGCTAAGACGCCAAGGTTTTGTCACAAATGAGCCGAGTGATATATTGTGATGATGAGTGCTATCTGATGCGAGCACCTCCACCATACAAAATATTTCTTGGCTGCATACTTAGTGCCAAATTTTGTATGTATCAAATTGTATGGTGGAGGTCCTCTCTGCTCGGTCCGTTGTGTGCTCGCTTCATAGGGAAACACTGTACCCTACACACTCGAGTACTTCTGCCGGCATCACTACCGGCGACGGGGATATACCTACCTTGAGAGAATATTCAATAAAGGTATCGATGTATATGTGCCTGTACATAGCAAGACTTCCCCGCCT